CCCTAATTTCCTTGAATTTCTTCGCCCCCCCCAAACTTCGTTTCTCCCCTTTTTGGGCTAATTGATTTGTTATAAGCCTCGAATTTTGGATTCTGTTTCTGTTTGCTGCTCTATTCGAAACCCTAATCCTAATTCCTCGTGCTCCAAGTTAGTGTGCGGCCGCCGCGGGAGGCAATAAGCCTAATTCGCCCACGATGACGGGATTCTAGACTGGGAATTTGAGGAAATTGTTTGCAGGGTGAGGAAACATGAGTTTTTCTCGCCGTATTCCTTTTGTTTCGGTGCTTTTTTTAGTATTTGGTCTAAGCGAACCCTAATTTACGTTTGAATTTGAGTTTCGTTTGATTGGAAGTTGAAGTGTTAGACGGATTCCATCGGCGTTTTCGAGATATAATGCTGGGTTTTTATGTGTTTTCTAGTATTGATTTGCGAAACTTGAACTTGTTCGAACTTTAAATTCCTGGGTTTTGATTTGAGTTTGATGAATCCTTTTTCATGAGGACTGTGGCATGTTGGGATATTGCATTTTTGTGTGTGTGGCTTTTTTGTAGTTTCTCAAGTGGTTTAAGCTTCCTAGAAAGCTAACCTAATCCTCAGTTGAAATTGCTTTTCAAATATTAGTTGAGAAATTCCCTTATTTTTTCCGCCACATTTTATATATTGGTTATTTTAATTGATCCTACTTTCTTATGCAGAATAGCTCCTAAATGACTGATCATCGGGGTGCAAATGGCCAGCGTCCAAATGGGACGGCTCCTGGATCAGGAATTACTTACTCTATTAATCTGGACAATTTCAGCAAACGTTTGAAGGCTATGTATTCACACTGGAATGAACACAATGCCGAACTCTGGGGCTCTTCTTATGTTTTTGCAGTAGCTACACCACCACCTTCAGAAGATTTACGATATCTGAAATCATCAGCACTAGACATTTGGTTGCTAGGTTATGAGTTCCCTGAGACTATAATTGTTTTCACAAAGAAGCAGATTCATTTCTTGTGTAGCCAGAAGAAAGCTTCTCTTCTTGAAGTTGTGAAGAATTCTGCGAAGGAGGCTGTGGGGGCTGATGTTGTGATGCATGTGAAGGCAAAGAGTGATGATGGAGTTTCATTGATGAATGATATATTTAAGTCCGTCAGGGTACAATGCAAGGGATCTGAAAATGATTCTCCTATTTTTGGTTACATAGCTCGAGAAGCTCCTGAAGGAAAGCTTTTAGAGACTTGGGTTCAACAACTAAAAAGTTCTGGCTTTCAGCTTAAGGATGTAACTAATGGTTTATCTGAGCTATTTGCTGTGAAAGACAAAGAGGAGGTGATGAATGTAAAGAAAGCTGCTTATTTAAGTTACAACGTGATGAATAATATTGTGATTCCAAAGCTTGAAAGTGTAATTGATGAGGAGAAGAAAATTACTCATGCTGCCTTGATGGATGAAGCCGAGAAAGCTATAGTGAATCCACAGCTAGCCAAAGTAAAGCTTAAGCCGGAGAATGTTGATATTTGTTATCCTCCCATATTTCAAAGTGGGGGCGAGTTTGATCTCAGACCTATTGCTGCAAGCAATAACGAGAACCTGTACTATGATTCTGCCAGTGTTATCTTATGTGCAGTTGGAGCTCGCTATAACAGTTATTGCTCAAATCTTGCCAGAACTATCTTGATAGATGCCTCTCCAGTTCAGAACAAGGCATATGGGGTTCTTCTTAAAGCCCATGAAGCTGCAATTGGTGCTTTGAAGCCTGGGAGAAAGTTTAGTGCTGCGTATCAAGCTGCATTCTCAATTGTTGAGAAAGAGGCTCCTGACTGGATTCCCAATCTAACAAAATCTGCTGGAACAGGAATTGGTCTTGAGTTTCGTGAGTCGGGGCTTAATCTCAATGGGAAGAATGACCGCTTGGTCAAAGCAGGAATGGTCTTCAATGTGTCACTTGGTTTTCAGAACTTGCAGTGTGAGAGTAAGAAACCAAAGAGCAGTAATTTCTCTCTCTTACTTGCGGATACAGTTATTGTTGGTGAACAAAATACTGAAGTGGTGACGGGCAAATGTTCCAAGGCGGCTAAGGATGTGGCTTACTCTTTCAATGAAGATGAGGAGGAAGAAATGTCTGTGAAGGCTGAAACAAATGGCGTTAAGCCCTTTATGTCTAAGACAGTGCTTAGGTCAGATAATCATGAGACCACTAAGGAGGAGTTGCGGAGGCAGCACCAAGCAGAACTTGCTCGTCAAAAGAATGAAGAAATAGCTAGGCGGCTTGCAGGTGGACCTGGGAATGGCGACAACCGTTCAGCTGCAAAGGCTTCAACTGATTTGATAGCCTATAAGAATGTGAACGACCTGCCCCTTATAGAGATTTTATGATTCAAGTTGACCAAAAGAAAGAGGCTGTGCTCTTGCCAATTTATGGTAGTATGGTACCTTTCCATGTGGCTACTATAAGGACGGTTTCCAGCCAGCAGGATACCAATCGGAATTGCTTTGTCCGGATTATATTTAATGTTCCAGGGACTCCTTTTAGCCCTCATGATTCAAACTCTCTAAAGAATCAAGGGGCGATATATCTAAAAGAAGTCTCATTTCGCTCCAAGGATCCAAGGCACATAAGTGAAGTGGTACAACAGATTAAAACACTTCGTCGGCATGTTGTGGCCAGGGAATCTGAGAAAGCTGAGAGAGCTACCTTGGTTACTCAAGAAAAACTTCAACTTGCAGGGAACAGGTTCAAGCCTATACGGTTGCCTGACCTTTGGATACGTCCTGTTTTTGGTGGTCGTGGGAGAAAGATTCCAGGAACACTTGAAGCCCATGCTAACGGTTTCCGGTATTCTACCACTAGAGCTGACGAGCGTGTGGACATCATGTTTGGAAACATAAAGCATGCATTCTTCCAGCCTGCTGAGAAAGAGATGATCACTCTCCTTCACTTTCATCTGCACAACCACATAATGGTAGGAAACAAAAAAACCAAGGATGTACAATTTTACGTTGAGGTTATGGATGTAGTCCAGACATTGGGAGGGGCTAAGAGGTCCGCTTATGACCCAGACGAAATTCAAGAAGAGCAAAGGGAGAGGGATAGGAAGAATAAGATCAACATGGATTTCCAGAGTTTTGTGAATCGAGTTAATGATCTCTGGGGGCAGTCTCAGTTTAATGGTCTTGATCTCGAGTTTGATCAGCCTCTTAGAGAACTTGGCTTCCATGGGGTCCCATACAAGGCCTCAGCTTTCATTGTGCCAACCTCAAGCTGTTTGGTTGAGCTGGTAGAGAATCCTTTCCTTGTGGTCACCTTAAGTGAGATTGAGATTGTTAACCTGGAAAGAGTTGGCCTTGGGCAGAAAAATTTTGACATGGCTATTGTCTTTAAGGACTTCAAGAAAGATGTACTCAGGATTGATTCCATCCCTTCAACTGCACTTGATGGCATCAAGGAATGGCTTGATACAACAGACATCAAGTACTACGAGAGCAGGCTGAATCTGAACTGGCGGCAGATTCTGAAGACAATCACTGATGATCCACAGAGCTTCATTGAAAATGGGGGTTGGGAATTTTTGAACTTGGAAGCTAGTGATTCTGATTCCGATGATGAAGAGGAATCAGATCAGGGTTATGAGCCATCTGATGCGGAGCCTGAATCTGAGTCAGAGAATGACGACTCTGATAGTGCATCATTGGTCGAGTCCGAGGATGAAGAGGAAGAAGAATCCGAGGAAGTCTCTGAAGAAGAGAAGGGAAAGACATGGGAGGAGTTGGAGAGGGAAGCAAGCAATGCAGACAGGGAGAAGGGGAACGGATCTGACAGCGAGGAAGATAGGAGGAGAAGGAAAATGAAGGCTTTTGGGAAATCCCGAGCCCCTCCTAGTAGTTCAATTCCCAAACGTTCCAAGCTACGATAGATGTGTTGTTATTCCTATCAATTTTCTGGTTAGTTCTTAATGTTTAGACATGATTTAGTAGCAGCAGCAGCTGGTATTTTAGAAGAATGTAGTTGTCTAACATACAAGTGTCGTACCGTGTTAGTTTTTATACTACTAGGATCATGTTCCAGTTGGATTGTCTAGAGGATAAATGTTGGACTGTAAATTGGTGGCATCAGTTAATGGGAGTAACCGTTATTTGTTATTTCGTGTTCATATTCCACTCTTTATGGGACTGCATTTACCACTTATTCTAAGAGACGCACCATTTGGAATGGCTTTGTTTTTGGTTTAATGATGTCCCTGGTTATTGGTTTTAACAGTTTATCTGAATCTTGAAGACGAACCATATTCTGAATTATGTTACTAAATGTGGTAGCTAGGTGTAACTGCTGTTTCTATTGCTTAAATTTATAAGATGAATGTTCTCTGTGGATACATTACTATATCCATCTGAAGTGAGAGAAGCTCCAACTTCTCTCTAACCAGGCGTTTTCAAATTTCAAATTTCCAAGGGAGAGAGAAAATATGGGTGTCGTTTATACAGCCCTCACTACCGTCATCCATCATTAGTCTTCCACCTTCAGTCGCTTGTCGTCCGCCGTCCTCCGACCATCGTCCGCCGTCCTCCAACCACCGTTCGCCGTCTTCCGACCACCGTCCACCGCCGCACTCCGACATCCTTTTGACGCCGTTTTTCTCAAGGATATTCGTCTACCCACAACGTTTCCTTTTTCCTGGTTATTTTTGTTAGATTCCTTTTCAATCGGAGCAAATCTACTTGCCTTTCTTCGCCGTTCTTTTCCACCACCAGTTTCCCGAGTTTCGTTTTAATCGTTCCACTGTACTCGTCGGATGCTCGTGACAAAAACCCAAGTTCTCTACTGTGAATAATCACTGCTGGTCAACGGATCTTCTTGAGAAAAACTTATTTTTCCAGATCGTAGTTATTGGCTCTGGGTTTTCACGTTTGGAGGCATATCTTACCTAGCATTTTACTTCTCTGATTTTTTCGTTTAAATCTGCATTCAGACAGTTTGTCAAGTCTCTAGGTGTTTTATTTCAACAGTCAGTCATCATGCCAAGTGCTGGAATCTTACCTTCTCTCAAGATGAGACCTCCGGTTCAAGTTCCTTCACCCTCTGCAGCTGCGCATTCTCTGTCATCTCACCTTTCTCATCGTGATGAGGTTCGTACTATCTTCATTATGGGTCTGCCTGAAGATGTCAAAGAGAGAGAGTTGCAGAATTTTCTGAGATGGCTTCCAGGTTTTGAAGATTCACATTTGAGCTTCAAGGGAGATAAGCCCAAGGGTTTCGCACTCTTCTCAACTGTTAAATTTGCAGTTGCTGCCAAGGATGCCCTTCAGAAAATAGTTTTTGACGCTAAGTTAAAGTCCTTCTTGCACATCGAGATGGCAAGGAAGAATCTTGTTGTTAAAAGAGTAGTTACAGATTCTGATTTTGACAAGTATGGAGGTTTTCCTGTTCCTCCAGTACTTTCATTGCCAATTCCAGCTTCTGTAGCATCTCCTAGTTTTCATGTGTCAGTTAAAGAAGTCTGTTGCGATGAAAAATCTGCAGTAAATGGTGTACACGAGGGATCCAGGGAGTCGATCACAAAGGGGTGCAGAGTTGACAAGTCTGGATGCTTCACGTTATTTGTTGAAAATTTACCAGAGAAGATTCATTGGGAGAGGTTTGGATCTCTTTTTTGCTCTCATGGTCGGGTACTTGATGTTTTTATTCCAAATAAAAGGAATTCAAAAGGAGTTCGCTTTGGTTTTATTCGCTTCGCATCAATCGAAGAAGCAAGGAGAGCAATCTCAAAAATGAATGGCTCTCGTATCGACGACAACAAAATTGGTGTTTCTTTCGCTAAATTCAAACCTCGACATTCCTATTGGAGAAAGTCCTCGACAGGTGTTCTTCGCAAGTCCGGGATGGAAGATGATTCGAGGATGAATCATTATAAAGTTGAAGGTGTTATAGATGAAGAAAAACTTCAGGTGTTGAGCAATTGTCTAGTCGGGTGGTGCAAGGACTTTGTCAAAATTGGTCATCTCGCTAGACAAATGCAAGCGAAGGGCCTCACTGGCTTCACCTTAATGAGAGCTGTTGGTAATGCGATTTTAATGATTTTCGAAGACAATGCTTCACTGAGAAGTGTAAAGAACGATAAATCAAAGATTCTCGCAGAGTGGTTCTCCTTAGTCGAAGCTTGGTCAGAGAGTTTGGTAATGGAGTGTCGTCGAGTATGGTTAGTTTGCGAGGGTGTTCCTTTTCACACATGGAATTGGAATACTTTCAAGAACATTGCTGATAAGTGGGGTTTATTACTAGCTATCGACGAAAGTTGTCATTCTCCATCATCCTTTGATCGGGCAAAAATTCAAGTCCTCACAAAGGCTGATGCGAGAATTGATGCGATGGTGGAATTGAAGGTTGGTGACAACTTCTTCAAGGTCATGGTGCATGAGATAGAGCCTTCATTCAAACCAAACTCTTGGGCTCCTGAAGAAGACGAGTCTCATTAGATCTTGTTTCTTCAATTGTGGTTTTGTTTTAGTTCATATGGTTGTAGGTGTTGCTTTTAATTTGCATTATGTTCTGTTGCGCTATTTTATTCCTACTGTTGGTGGTGTAATTAGAAGTAAGGTGATTAGACTGTGGCTTTGTATGAGGTTATATGAGGTTAAGGTGTTTGTTGTAATGGTGTTCATCACCATGAGAGGATATTCCGTGGTGTCTTTTGTATCGGGTATTATTATCAATAAAATTTGAGGTACTCTTTTCTTCCTTCCAATGTTCGTTAACATACTTTAAGTATGTGAACGAATAAGAAGGGAGTTTTTAATGAGACCTCCAACTTCTATAAAAAAAAAAGATGAATGTGCCAGGATATTACGAGGAAGGTATGCATAATTGAGTTGTTCAGTTAATTAGTGACATTAAATTAGTGTGATATATATGGATGGACGAATGGATGCATGCATGTGAATGTGAAGAATATATATGATTGCTACTTGAATATGGTTCTTTAATCAGTGTCATGAATTTTCATGATGTCTGGTAGTTTCGAGAAGATGATGGTTGATATCCTCAAACAGCCTCGGACCATATCTTTGCTGCTCTCGTCTTTTACAGGGGCCCTTGTTGTCCTTGAAGTTTCGTGGAGGAAGTTTTTCCTCGGTTTATTGCTAAACTATATAGATCCTTGCACATATATCTATTTGAATTTGAATTGTTTAAGAACAATATTTTTTACCATCGTTACATCACTATGAATTCTATTTCACCATTAAAGCTTGAAGTTTCATGGTTAAAAGTAACTTGATTGACAGAATCAATATTTAACACTGATTTATTATTTAATATATATATTAATGAATAGAGTAATCATATTTGATTAGTTGATCAAATTATTTATATATATATATATATAAATATTTTTATCAAATGATTGAGATATAAATTTTAAGATATATAGATGTATACAAATAAAAGCTAATACGATTGAATAACTTTACTTAACCGTTTAATATTTGTTTTACAACTATAATATCAGTAATTAATAACAATAATCATAAAAAAATGATTAAAAAGAGGAAAGAAAAACAAATTGAAAACCTCTTTCCTGTTCAACAGTGTGTCTCTGTCAACCCTATGACAACCTCAATACAATAATTTATTTACATAATTTTACTAAAAAATAATAAAATATTTGATCAAATAAAACACTAAAATAAATATTAATAATAATAGGAAAAACGAAAAGTACTGAAATAGCATGTGAACCACCGAATTTCTTGAACTCTCTTGTACAAATCTCAATTTGCAGAATACCGAAAACAAATATAAAATTAAAAATTTATTTCCTTCTCCGTCTTCTTCCTCCTTTTACCAATTTCTTCTTTCTTCACCGCTGCGTCGCCTCAACCACGTCTGCTTCTTCTTCTCCTGTATTTCCTCTCTCAGTCCATATGTATATCTCCCTCTCTCACTTCTTAATGTACCTTTTTTTTCTTTTGGGTTTCCCCTTTTTTATCTACAGAATTAATGGCTTTCTGGGTTTTTTAAATATTTTTTTTGTGTTTTGGATCGGCTTATTTCTTGGACGATCTTGTTTGTGGCTGTCAGATTCGGATCCTCACGTTTTTTTATAAACCAACGAAAAAAATCTGATTTTTTTTGTTTGTGTGGTGGTTCAATTCTAGCTCTAGGATCTGTGTTTTTATTATCATTGAACTTTAATTGAAGATGGGTGTTTTGTTATTTGGTTTCCTTCTATGGATATCCTCTGGGTTTTTTTTTTCCTTCATTAATTTGCTTGATGAATCCGTAATCATTAGCTGTGTATTTATATCATGAAATCCCTTCCCAAAAAAAAAGTTGAAAATTAAGTGCTTGCAATTGATGAAATTCTCATAACGTTCTATTCTTTTTATTTTTTTATTTTATTTTTGTGCTTAGTGTTATTAGCTCCTTTTTGTCTGAATGATATCTTAAAATGCCCTTTTTAGCTAGATATGGAGGTTTCTTTCACTGTATATAGTATATATGTATAATTGTATAAGTATATGTATGTATAAGCTAAAAGTTTTGTGCTTTGATGGGACCATAAGTGTTTTAGTTTATTTTTTTTAAATTAAAATAATGGGTATTTGATAAAATTATTCCTGGGATTGAAAGTGGCTGAGTGGTTGTTTTGTTAAGCTTGAATTGCTACATAGATAAAAGGGCTTTGTTCAATTGATTTTTTTTGGCGGTATTGTGATTATGTTGAACTTTAGTCCTTATGGTGTAGTTAATGGTAGAGATTGTTTTTAACATATTAGTTGTTTCTCAAGTTGAGTTTATTAACATTTTTTTTCCCTTTTGCAATGTAGATGAATGGTTGGCTGTGAGGTGCAAAATTAGGACACTTTTTGTCTTAAAGATGGCTTCCGTGGGCATGGTGCCTACTTCTTCTGGTGTAAGAGAATCTAGTGCTGCTGGTGTCGAGAAGTTACCCGAGGAGATGAATGACATGAAAATTAGAGATGACAAAGTAAGAATTTTCTTGCTTTAACCTTTATCATTGCGGTTCCCTGCTTTTGCATTTTTCTAATCATTTAATTTAATAAGTACCAAGTACTACCATCTTTCATTAGTAAACCGAAAAAAGGAATGCAGCTACTACTCATGGATCATCTCTAATTTTTTAGGACATGGAAGCAACAGTTGTGGATGGTAATGGGACAGAGACAGGGCATATAATTGTGACAACTATTGGTGGTAGAAATGGTCAGCCAAAACAGGTATATTTCTTCGGCTTTGATATTTAATTGCAGCTAGTTAACTTTGCAAGCTAGTTATCCTTTTTCCCCCGCTTTTTTCGTTACATGTCATCTGCTAATATAACATTACAAATTCCAGACGATAAGTTACATGGCTGAACGTGTTGTTGGACATGGATCCTTTGGAGTTGTTTTCCAGGTAAGCAACACTTGTTTGTTTCATGATAGATGGTATAGCTTGCTAATCTATATTTTTAGGTTAGTAATGGACATATTTTTTTATTTTTGTAAAAAAAGGCAAAGTGCTTGGAGACAGGTGAAACTGTTGCTATAAAGAAGGTTCTTCAAGATAAGAGATATAAGAACCGTGAGCTGCAAACAATGCGGCTTCTTGACCACCCAAATGTTTTGGCTTTGAAACATTGCTTTTTTTCAACAACGGAGAAGGATGAACTTTATCTTAATTTGGTACTTGAGTATGTACCCGAGACTGTTCATCGTGTGATCAAGCACTATAACAAGTTGAACCAAAGAATGCCATTGATATATGTGAAACTATATACATACCAGGTACATGTCAGTGTTTAAAATTTTGGTTTCTCTTGTGTCCTTTTAACTTGAATCATCTTAGATGCTAATAAAGGTCGATGTTTGGTAGATATTTAGGGCTTTGTCTTACATCCATTGCAGCATTGGTGTGTGTCATCGGGACATCAAACCTCAAAACCTTTTGGTATGTTCAAATAACTCTACCTTCACATTTTGCGTCCTTGTTTGTTGATTTTAGTAGTACCCCTTACCTGCAAGGTGAATGAACTTGTCAAGTCAGTCGTCCTATTTTTCCATCTTGATCTTGATGTCTTGCACTTTCCTCCTTACAGGTAAATCCACATACTCATCAAGTTAAACTATGTGATTTTGGAAGTGCGAAAGTCTTGGTAGGTTATAACGTCTATTATATTTACTAATTTGTTTATGGATCTTTGAGTTTTGCTTAGTTCTTACTGTTTTATATTTTCTTATCTTGGTAGGTGAAAGGTGAACCAAACATATCCTACATCTGCTCAAGGTATTACAGAGCACCTGAGCTAATATTTGGAGCAACCGAGTACACTACAGCTATTGATATCTGGTCCACTGGATGTGTCCTTGCTGAAATGTTACTTGGACAGGTAGGAAACTTGTGCATATGAGGTTTATATGATTGTTATTTTTACCTTAAATTAAGCTTGGTGTTCCATGTTAATATATATTATTTTCTATTTATATCAGCCTTTATTTCCGGGTGAGAGTGGGGTTGACCAACTCGTTGAGATTATTAAGGTATTTAGATCTCGTACTTAAATCTCTGTGTGAGTAGTTAGCGCAATGTGTATGTGTGTGTATGCGTATGCATATGTCAGTATTATTACAATAATGTCATTGTGGAATGTTTCAATGAGAGGGAGCTTATATTCTTCACGAGATAATCGATTCATTACCATGCAAAATGGACATATTTATCATTGTTTCTAAAAGAGCCTTTGTTAACAAAAATGTCATGAAATACCTGTGTGCCTTGTGGATGTGTACTTGGCTAATAACCTTGGTTCTATTACTTCTCCATTGTATGTGTTCTGTTTGATGTAGTTATTGCTGCTTTAGTCATTTCCAATGTCAAATTGACCATATCTCTTTAAATATGATAATTATGCGATTATTTTCTAGGTCTTGGGCACCCCAACACGAGAGGAAATTAAGTGCATGAACCCTAATTATACAGAGTTCAAATTCCCTCAGATTAAGGCTCATCCATGGCATAAGGTATTAAGGATCGAAGAAAGGGTGTGAAAAACGGTCTTTTATTCAACCTTGTCAAGCAATTATTATAATTATTTTTATTAACTTCGTGTACTAGATATTCCATAAGCGCATGCCTCCTGAAGCTGTTGATTTGGTGTCAAGATTACTCCAATACTCTCCTAATCTCCGGTGTTCCGCTGTAAGTATATAAATTCTTCATTTTATTATGCTTCAACGTATTCCCTTCAATTGGCCTGCGACTTTTATCGATGATAGAAGTTCTAAGATCACTACTTATAATCTTTTGGTTTACTGCGATGCTCACGTTGCAGCTTGATGCCTTGATCCATCCTTTCTTCGACGAGTTGCGCGATCCAAATGCCCGCTTACCAAACGGTCGGCTCCTTCCGCCATTGTTTAACTTCAAACCTCACGGTAAGTGACATAGTCGGGAAAAAACATTTTCTTTAAAATGAGGGCTTTTCTGTATCGTTAAGATGTATGATCGATTATTACTGGTCTCGTGCCTACCACCAGAACTGAAGGGCGTTCCGACGGAGATATTGGTGAAATTGGTTCCGGAGCATGCAAGAAAGCAGTGTCCATCACTTGGATTGTGATTTTGATGCAGAAATATAACCCAACTAGCAAAAGTGTATTACCTTTATGTAAGCCATGATGATGTATGTGTATTTGTTGTTGCATGCATGCATGCATGTTATGTTGTTGAGTTTTACCAGCTTTGTTTTATGTAAAAACAGAAGACAATTAGACATAATCTTCCCCCACTTTTATATGTTTCTGCATATTGTAACATCCATGGTAGATGGAGACCAAACTTATGTCTACTCTCATATGTTTTTCTTGTATGTGATTTCAACCTAGAGAAGGAAAGATCAGTGTTTATTTGCATGTTCATTTGTTACGATCATATATATGTTTGGGTAAAATATACAAATGGTCCAACTATAAGATATTGTTTTATTAAATCTCTCGACTATTAAAGTTATAAAATAGTCATCGACTATTTATTGTG